CCTGTGGCATGTGACGAACGGTCGATGGCTGGTGGCACAAATCAACAATCTATATACATGTATATGATTCCATGTGATTCCTTTTTTTTGGTCTTAATAGAGATCCAAGATTGTTTCATGCTTCAGATCCTGATGCTGTGCGCCTTGTGCTGGTTTCTCACTTTTGTGAGAGTCTCGATTGGAAGGCTGAGCCAAAAAAAACTGGCATGGGATGAGGACTGCTAAGTCTAATATGTGCCAGACCTCCTCTAAGAGCACAGACGTCCTTTGTGACTCCAATGGTCATAAGCAGAAGTGACTTTTCCATGCGGTCCCTTCCATTGGGAGGTCAACCTGGATCAACCTTACCAACTCCCGAGAGGGACCATGAGATTTTGCAAGTTTGGCTACACTCCCTGGAGCTCAACTGGTTACGTGCCCCAAAAGGAAGACCCTTTTCCACAAACAGGGGATGAGCTCCACTTCCATGTTAGTTCCAGGGAGTGTAGCTTGAAACATCATGCAACAGAACATGTTTCCATCATGTTTCCAAGTTTTTGTTAGAAGTCATGCTCTCGTTCTTGGAACGCTATCTCTGGAGCTTCCAGAAAAAGAGTAGCCCTCAACAAGGGCAAATCAAATCAAACAAAATCAAAGATAACACATTCACCAGTTGACACCACCAACAATGTGCCAACAACCCTCCCGAAAAAAATTCTTGAGTGGGTGCTACACCAGATGGACCCAGGGAGGGGAACCTCCCCACCCCTCCCGCGCCACGCTGCAAAAGCGACCCGCATGCGCTGTGCAGAACGACTGACTATATAGTCATACGGAACTATATCTGGCATGTCATCCAACAGGAACGGCAACGCAGAACCAGCAGCATGTGTGAGCCTGTGTGTCCTGCCGCACCCAAGGGGGGTTCCTCCTCCGGAGGCCCAAGAACTTCGACCATCTTCGACCCCTTTAGACCAACCACTTCATGCCCAGACACTCCATGCATTTCCCATGCCATTGGGGTTGGAAAATATGGAGGGCTCCAGTCACCCTCACATCCGGTTTCGACCGCGAGGTCGGGACCGGTCGACCCCAAAAGGATGGTCCGAGTTGGCATTTGACACCCATCAACCCCCATTGGAACGTAGTTGTATACCATAAATGAGCATGACATGTCATTGTGGCTGTTCCATGCAGTTTGGGGAACCTGGCAGGATGTATGTTGTGTGTCAACGGTGGGTAAATCAATTGGCACCCTGCTGGCACCAGCACCTGCACCCCTCGCCCCTAAGGTGGTGTCCTGGTGTGCGGCACCTTGGCACCGTGAAACCGAGGGTCGGTTGCATGTGATCATCCGAGGTGGGTGAAACGGACCGAGGGTCGTTGTCCAAGAACCTGGACCCTCCATTCATGACCTGAAAGAAACAGATTGGACATGATTTATCAGAAAAAGACAGGTGTATACATGTATTCAGAAATGTATACATGTAATGAAATGTAATGAACTGGGCTCCTGACTCGTGGTTTGGATCTCCCGTGCAGTGATGGATTGCCTGGGGTAGACCTGGCAGTCCGAATGCCAAAGCTTCTTCTTTCGAAGGTAAATTATATATGTACCAGCACCTTCAGAGGGGTCACCAATGGAAGCCCCTACACTACATAGGGATCTCCAGTCACCCCTTGAAGGTCCAGATATATGTACACTCATGATGTTGAAATTGAAAGGAAAGCATTCCCAACGGGTTAAACACATCAGAACAGGTGCTCATGGGAAATGACTGATTTGTGTCTAGGACAGGCGGCCCCTAGACCGGCCGAAACGGTCGTTCCGTCGCGTGGTACTCCGGCGGAACGGCCGCCCTTGTCTCGCAACTGGAGCCCGAGCGTACCGTGAGGCAACTGGATCTTGAAATCCACCTTGGCCAACTTTGAAGGGATGGAGGCCCGAACGCATGCCGGTTGCATGACGATGGCCTTGGCCTTGCCCTATCCAGACGGACCAGTCGTGAAACCTTGTCCTTGACCTCATTGAGTACTCTCCGGACCCAGTAAAATGAGGTCCTTGACCTGTAGGGTTGGGTCTTTCGTTTTTGAGGAACCTTTGTAGTATTATCCATCTCATTATTGTATGAACCACCAGCGCACAAGTCACGGATACCTGGATCCATCCGCTTCATCCGCTGCATCCGCTTTCGCAGCGGCTCAGCGGCTCCCGGCTGGTGGATCGATCGAGCCTTTTCGTGGCCGGCGTGTGCCATGGATGAGGAGGACTGTGAGAACAACTCGAAGACTTTCAGGTGAGTATATTAATGTATATTATATTATATAATCTAAAACATAATGAGACATGCTAATGCTTAAAGACAACTATAAACCTACACATCTGAGTCTAGCGTCGGAGGCTTGGTTCCTCCAGGTCGTGCACGGTGGATTCTTTTGACCGAGTAAGATCATGGGACGACGCCTTGCTCAACGCTCCAGCAAGATGTTCCAGGTTTTGGAACCCACCTTCGTCCCAAAAGTTTACAAAAGGAACCTATCGAAGTGAACACTTCCTTTGCAGTACCACCTAGGATAAGTTCATGGGAGTTGAAGTTGAGGTCATAGCGAGAGGCCGGAGTGAAGATCCCCCGAAATGTCACTTCGGAGTACATGGGTTCCAGACACTCCAGACACTCCTTATGATTCCTTCACGGGTTCCATATATAATATATATAAATGTTGTGGTGCTTTCTGGGGTCAATACATCGATATTAGATTCCATGTATATATCCATGAAGTGTTTGGGACCAGAAACTCATCCTCACCTGGGGATCTCTTCACACCCCTTCCGCAGAACACCCCGACCTTCGGCATCCCAGGTGCCTCAGATCCAAACCACTTTCCAACCACCCAGCATCACCCTTCTCACAGATCCGCACATCCAGCCGCCCCTCACATCCACCGAGCCTCACACCACACCTGGCATCGTCTCATCGCATGGCGCCAGGATGAGGGACACCTATATGGCTTCGGTGACCCGACGGCGAAGCGCTCCAAGCTGCAGGAGATTGTTCAGCAACGAGTCCAGGATGTGGCGTTGGCCAAGCAGCAGCTGAGCAGCGACGCCTTGCAGAAGGAGGCGAGGCCGGAGGAGGTAATGTCCACCTCCTAATAATAACCCCCCCTTGATCAAGTGCGGGCCCCAAATAATGTGAAATCCAGGAAAATCCTAGAACATATTGATTTGAATTGGAAAGGAAAGGGCAGGAAAGGAAATTAGAGGAAAGGAAATGAAAGGAAAGGAAAAGGAAATTGAAAGGACAATGAAAGGAAAGGAAAGGACATGAAAGCAGTCAATGTACAGTAAGTAGTGCTGAAGGAATTGTAAAGGGGCTGAACTGAACCTAAATAACCATAGCCCTCAATAAAGCTAAAGGAAACCTAAAGAATTGTAAAGGAAACCACGAAAAGAACCAGCCAGGGATTGTTTAGTATTATTTGAGGTCTGGAATAATTGAAGGTTTGGGCTGCTCATGGGGGGTGATCTTTGTGGGTTGATTTCAAGTTACACATGGCAATGCCCAAACAAGCAATGTTAAAAGGAAAATGCAGCAGCCAAATCAGAAATTCAGAAAGGATGGCCTTCAATAAAGCTAAAGCTTTTCAATCAAAAGGAAATCTAAAGGAATTGTAAAGGAAACCACCAAATAATCAGATTTTAGAATCAGCTGAAAGCTCAGAATCAGCTTGGATGAATCAAGGTCTGGAAGCAGCTGAAAATCAGGGTCCAGAAAAAACTAGTACTGTATTATTTGAGGGCCATTTGGTTTTTGAAAATATTTGGTATTATTCACGGGCCATTTATATATTATTATGAGGTCAACATTCAACATTACGTGGCACGGGACGAGGGGCACGTGGCACGGGTGGGGACCGGGAGATAGAGGAGTCTGACTCGGGAGATTGCTAGTCATAGCATGTGACAGGCCCAATGTATGATTGATGATGATTGGATTGGTCAGCTTGGAGTGTCATGTTTACCTTGAAACTCCTGGGTCATGGTTCATGGGTTGTTCCTTCTTTGTTGGTTGTTTTTGATGATTGGGCATGATGATTTGATGCTTAATTGTTGATTGGACGTGAAGGACATGTGCCAGATTGCTCGTTCACCGCAGTGATCTTCATGCATTCCAGGATCCATGTTCATGTCTTTTTCTTTGCAATACATGGACCTTCAACTGGCTGGTTTTGTCGGGCGGCCATGGCACGACCCGTCGGTCGAACGGATGAACGGTTCTTCTTCGGGTCGACCGCAGTGTCGTTGGCACGTGCGACAGGTGCTGAAGTTTCAGGAGCACTACGGGAAGCCACAGAGTTTAGTCGAGTGCATCAGTGAAGCAGAGACTTGATAAGCACTCGACTCGAGCCAGAGACCAGTAGAGAGGTTGCAACTCCTGGTACTTGTGAAATGTTCTGAATCTGCAGGAAAGCCTGGAGGGAGCTTCCGTCAGAATCACGCAAGTGGGAGGTCATACCCAGCAATGCAAACCAGGAGCTTCAGTTCGTGACCTTTTTGGGAGTCACAATGTGTGTTTGACCTGTGACCTGGGACGTTTCATGACCTCATGTCAGAACACCTGAAGATAGACATCTTTGGCACAGATGACAAGCTGGACATGTGCAGAGATGACAAGCTGGACGGAAACCAGCCGAGTTCGTTTCTTTTGGTGCAGCAGTGTGTGTTGCGTCTAAGCGTTGACGAGGAATATCTTGGGGTACAAGCCCTCGAAATCGGGGTGAATCTGGGTGGGTTTGGGAATGAGGTAGGTAAGGTAGGATGGTTCATGGGCCCACCGCTGTAGCCAAACGCAGGTAGTGTTGTTCCCTGCTACTTTGCCACCGTTTCCATAAACCTGTTGTCTTCATTATGGTGTCAGGAAAAGAAGCCTTGGACTTTGGCGCTGGCGGCAGAGTTTAAGAGGGCTTCACCGTCCAAAGGACAGGTCTTGACTCCGATGGGGATTGGAATGGACACTCCCCCAAGCCCCAGCCCTGTTTGCCCTGCCGGTTTAGATGAAGCGGCGCCTTCGTCCAGCTGAAGTCGTGATTTCGGGTACCTCTTATTTTTGGGTTGGCTGTGGGTCAGCGATGGTAATGATGATTCATGTTTTCCTCTCAGAAAGCATCAATCCACCTCATTCAATGTATTTTTGGGTTGGGGACCTCAATATGAACTGATATACACTTGTGTATATACTTATAAATAATGTATGGAATATATGCACATGTGTGTCTTAATATCTATTGCACATAATATACACTATATACAGTATTATGTCACGTGACGCCTTAACTCCTACAGTATGTGATTTGCACCCAGTATAATATATACATATACATATATTGTTTGTTTGGTTTTATCGTCTTGGGTCTTCTGTCATGATTGCTGTTTGAGGGCCCAGGCAACAATCAACAGCAATACTGTACTACCTTTTTGGCGCACAGATGTAAGCTATTACTCTGGGACAAGCACCATCGTGGGCATTTTAAAGCATTCTAAAGCCTAAAGCCATGAATAACAAGGTTTCCAGCATTGTCTACCAGAATCAAGCAAGAGCCACATGAATCCCATGATTTCTTTGGAACCACAAGCCCGGCGCTTGAATTCCCTTGCTTTAACTGGTCTGACTCCATTCTTCAGCCTCTCCCGCTCCCAAAATGGCAGGCGACATCAATCCAGATTTGGACGCAGCGGAACAAGCTTTGGAATACACCCAGGTCCGCGGGGGTTTTCGGACCGCGGGGCTATCCGGATCTCAGTGGCCCGGCACTGGTGCCTAAATTGCAGCTCTGTTGTGAACCCGACTATTCCGAACTCAGTGACCCACACTGGCACCGGCGACTGTTGCAGGTTGCCAGTTGGCGAATCTGACCATCCCATGCTTTGTGACCCACATTCAGAATGCTGCCCCCTGAAGGGTTGCAGGTCTTTGATGAGCTTGGCCATTCCAGACTCAGTGACCTGGTATTGTTGTTTTTCACTCTTGCAGCTCTTGCAGCCATACCCACTAGATCCCATCAAAGACGGTTTCTTGTTTCATGAGGAAACCACTGAGCGAACCTGGTGTCTACCCCATATACTATAAGTGTTTTGAAATGCAGGAAACCCACGATCTCCCACCTCAGACCTGATAGCCGCTGGTCTCGCATGGTCTCGCTGCCGGTTCATTCACTGTCAATCATGTCAATCCCTAGGGATCCAAGTACCTTCTCAGCAGGTGATTGGAGACACCGCTATGTAGGTTTGGAGGGTCCAAGTACCTTCTGAGAAGGTACTTGGATCCCTAGGGAATTCTAGGGACCCTATATATGCTTCGACTCAGTCGAGCCTTTTGACGCAGTGGATGTGGCAGGGGCGCCCCGACTTCCTCCAAGTTCGGCACCCTGACATGTGAATGTAGGAAGGTTTGTGTTCGCATGGGTCCCTTTGTGTGGGTTTTTGGCCAACTTGGCCAAGAGAGTGAGGTGTCTCGTCTCGGCCCTATCGGTGTTTTGCCTCAAAAAACCTTGTAATTATGATACATGTGGTGCCACTAGAATTGAAGTCCAATTGTACTCTAGAATTCCACTTCGACTATAGTAAGGGCACCACCTTAGTAAAGGAAAAAGACCTCACCTTGCGGTCACCATGGGTACCATGCGTCACCCAGCCAGACCACATGTCTTCTGCATGGGTCAGCGGACGGGGTTTTGCCGTTTATCACTGTCACTTGCTCTGCGCTAACAGCCCATATGACGCTGGTGGAACTCACCACCCAGCCATGACCAATAACGCGATGCATTGGTGTGTCAGGTTACACACCCTATTCTTCTCAAGCAATGTTCCAGTGAGATACCTGCTCTGCGCATGCAGGTGGGCGCCAGCATTCTGTCCGTCTTAACTGAGCCCAAGTGGTTTAAAGGCTCGTTGGAGGACTTGAAGAAGGTCCGTGTGAGGACCCAAGACACTCGGCAATCTGAAGCTTTTTTTTAAACGTGTTTTCCATCCAGCAGTTCCAGATGCAAGTAGCATGGAACATGCGAGCCTTATACCAGGACCCTCACAGATAGCTTCTTCTGTGCCCCTCTCGTTGTCAAGTCACCTCTTAGTCACCAGGCCCGATAATAAATTTAACTATACTTATTATTTATACTATATTGGGTTGGGAATCATGCAAGAGTTCCGTTCCAATACTGTGTTTGGTGTCGTTTATGTTTTTTCTGCTTGGAAGCGATGAACCAGCGGCAGCTAGCCGCCAAGGACTGGGCTAATGAGGCAGGGCAAAGACGACCTGCTTGTCTTCGAAAGGACTTCTTGATCGATGAATATCAAGTCGATGAAGCTCTGGCACATGGTGCTGACACCGTTTTGTTGATGGCTTCCCAGCTGAAATTCGGTAGGGTCGAAGCCCCGGCAGTTTGGACATGCGCAGCCAGGGCATTAGAAATAAGATGAAATAAGTGTCTACCAGCACCTTCCAACAGGTCTCGTTTGGAGGATTGTTAGGCCCTAACAGGTTTCAATTGGTGACCTGTTGGAGGTGCTGGTAGACTCTAGCTTTGAAGTTTTGTTTTTCACATCGAAACAAGTCTTTGGTGGAGTTGACCGTGCCACGGAAAACGTCCACCAACGTGGACCCCCTTGTCGATGGACCCCACCGACGGCGTTCCACATCAGTGACCGGCTGTGCGTCCAACCAACGGGCAGCCATGGGTCCCTGAACTTCCCAAGTGGCGAGTATTGCCCATTTTACAGTGGATTGAGAGTAGATGGCACAATCACCAAAAGGTTGTTGTTATACTTACTCTTCCAAGACCAACCTTTTAACCTTTTGTTACGATGCTGCATTTTGCTCGCATTTTTTGGGTGTTTCTGAAGCATCGACATTTTTTTGTGTCCATGCCCAACTTGAGTTCCAATGGCTGGCTCCTGCGCCTTGAGCATTTGAAGCCTTTTTTACGGTTGTGATGCTACTACAGGAGCTTGTCAACATCTCATTCTATACAAAGAGGCCCTGGAATAATCTAAATATTTCCATTGTTGACGTTGGTCAGAATCCAAGTTAGTAAGAACTCCACCCTTTGACGCCGGCCGGCCTCGTCACTGCAGCCTGCCAAGAGAGGCAAGCTCAAGAACTTTCCTTGGAAAGCCTAAGCAAGTCATAAGGGTGTTTCAGAAGTCCAAGACTTCAAACTGTTAACAGCATTTGGTGCCATCAGCAGAAAAGGTGCATATACGGTATACCCACACCCATCTCCGCCAAAGACCGCCTAGCGATCATGCCGACGCAGCTGCATGTGCTGGGTTTGGCTGAAAGCTCAGTGTGCGCGGATATGGGAAGCTGAAAATGTTTGGTTGAAGATATTGCTTCGAAAGTTGAAATGCAAGGGTTTTCTTCGATGCCCCATTCATCAGATTTTCACCACGGCTGGAATTGTCGGGACCGATGGCACGGGCATCCTTGGATAGACCAAGCTCGGAACAGAAGACAAGCGCCCGAACAGAGCTCGGGAGGCATTGCAGGATACACATACCAGAATCCATGCCAGAACACTGTCAGAACCTGTAGTCATAGCGCACGCAGAACATATATTTGGCACCATTATTTGGCAGGGTTTTTGTAAAAACAAGCATCGAAACGAGTGTCAGGCAGTATATGGTGGGTCATGTATTATCCATGTATATACATAGAACATGTTGCTTCCAACTGCATGTGAGAAGCGGGATCACTGGAAGCGTTTTTTGCTGCTACGAGTTGTTATAACCTTGAAATTTGGAGAGCGGGACGCTATGCGGGTGTATGTGTGTGTTCCAGTGTTTTGTTAGCTTTTTTGTTTTTGGACTGTTTCAAGTTGCAATAGGTCTACCATTGGGTATGGTATTGCAATCTGTCCTGGATGCTTCCCACAGAAGTTCGGAGCCTTCTTTTGTTACAACCAGCATTCACCGTTGACCTGCGGTAGCTTGATGCCATTCACCCTTGACCTGTGGCAATGGTAATGCAGATGGCGATGTTCATGCTGAAGGCAAGGGTGATGGTAATGCCATTCACCGACCTGTGGGAGCTTGATGCCATGCACCCTGTGATCTGTGGTAATGAAGATGTTGATGCTATTAACCCTGTGACCTGGGAGGATTGATGCTAATGCTGATGACACTGGGAATGCTGATGGCAATGCGAATGGTACCGGTAGTGGCCATTCACCCTTGCCATGTGCCAATGCTAATGGCAATGGTAATGCTCATGACAATGGTTGAGAATGCCATTCACCCTTTGACCTCTGGGAGTGATCCTCTGGGAGTGATGCACCTTGTGACCTGTGGCAGCTTTGACATGCTTTGACCTGTGGCAATGGGAATTTGAATGGCAATGCTAATTGTAAAAGTGCTGCCAATGCTACTGGTTCTTACGGTGGTCATTTGATGCTAATGGCAATGGAAATGCTGATGGCAATGGTGATGGGATGCAATTCAGCTTGTGAGCTGTGGGAGCTTGATGCCATTCGCCATGCAAATGGGAACGGTAATACAATCCCTGTGGGAGCTTGATGCTGATGCTTTTGGCGCTGGGAATGCTGATGGCAATGCCGATGCTAATAGCAATGGTCATGCTCATGGCAATGCAAATGGTATTGGTAATGGCCATTCACCCTTTGACATGTGGCAATGCTATTTGGGACCTTCATGCCATTCACCATGCTCATGGGAACTGGAATGCAATTTTCCCTGTGGAACTGTGGGAGCTTGATGCTGGTGGTAATAACAAAGGTAATGCTCATAGCAATGGTAATGGTATACTGGTAATGGCTATTCTCGCTTGACCTGTGGCAATGCTATAGGTGGGACCTTGATGCCACTCACCACAATGCCATTGATGCAGATTCTGATGCTTATGGCACTGGCAATGTGAATGGCACTGCCGATGCTGATGCCAATAGCAACTGTAATGCTGATGGTAATGGCCATTCACCCTTTGATGTGTGGCAATGCTAATGGCAATGGTAATGCTCATGACACTGGTGATGAAATGCCATTCACCCTTTGACCTGTGGGAGCTATGTGCCCTGTGACCTGTGAGAGTGGGAGCTTGATGCTGTTCACCTTTGACCTGTGGCAATGGGGATCACAATGGCAATGTCAATTCCCGCAGCAATGGCAATGCAAACGGTGATACGCACATGGCAATGGTGATGACAATACCATTCGCCTGGTAAGCTGTGGGACCTTGATGCCAATCACTCTGGGCATGCCAATGGTGATGCTAACAGCAATGATAACGCTAATGCTAATGGGCCGTAATGCTGGCAATGGCCATTCATCCTAGACCTGTGGCAATGCTAATGGCAATGGTGATTGTAATGCCATTCACCCTGTGGGAGGGAGCTTCATGCCATTCACCCTGTGACCTGTGGGAGCTTGATGACCCACAAGTAGTACCGGGGGGTCAGCAACAAGATATTGTAAGGGCAAGCAGAAACCAAAACTTTTTTTTGGCCGACCCCCCCGCAGGTGAACTATGAAGGAAGACCATGAGCAGACAACGCGCACCTACCAGGTCTCGTCCTCAACGTCTGAACACCTTCAACATGCAAAGTCCTTTACCAAGCGTTCTCGAGAACACTGGAAAACACAGAACGTCCTTGTCTGGAAATTTGAGGGGATATGTCTCCGAGTCATTGGTGCGCGCAGACAGGGTCAGTTCTGTCGAGGCCCATCAGCCCAGCCAGCGGCCCACGAGAGGACCAGGGACAGAGTGGCCTGGAGTGGTGCTGAGCTGTTGGGTTGTCGGAGTGTTGAGACGTTGAGTTGGAGGATGCGCTTTTCAATGTTGTAAAGATTGGCCTATACTCTCGCCCGATTGTTTTTGCCGTCGGCCTCAGAAGGTTGGCGTCGATATTGCAAGATTGTCATGGACGTCTGGCTTTAGTATCCAACGAAGCCAGTGTGACCATGTCACGCATGATTTCATCACATAGGACTTGTGGAGTATTCGATGTCACTCTCCCTTTGAACTCTTTTCGAAGATTCCCAAACTCTGCGATCGCCACTGGCGACGACTCGGCGATGTTGAGGGTTCAAGTTTCTCACAAGCACGACAGCATGACTACACAAACTCAGCAGACTAGAACAGTCACAGACACTGACAGCTCGTCACAGACACTACACCACTTGTTACTTGACAGACACACTAAGCCCCTACAATGCCGCGCTCGACGGCCGATGAGGTGAAGGCGAGGGACCGGGTTGTCAAGCGCTTTTGGGGAGGTGGCACCTGGGGGGATGTTGACAAGGTCAACGAAGCCTTGGAAAAGGCCAATTTGCCCCGAATCACCAATTGGGCCAACTACAGGAAGTCCCTCCAGAGAAGAGAGGCCAAGGCCAAAAACAAGGGGGGGAAGAAGGACAAGGCAGCTCAGCCAATTACGGCGGTGCTGCGATCCTTCAGCAGCAACTTGTTCGAGGCAGGTTCGATCATGCTGGCGTGCTACATTATCGCGAGGGTGGCGGTAGCACAGCTGGCATCGATCCAGCCCCTGAAGTTTATCCTTCGGGGTGGCCTCTTGACCTCCAAGCACTTGCGCGAGTTCTTGGCCTTGAGGCTCTTAGAGCCCCTGGCAGTGCGGGGGGACCACGATCGGGTGGCATCGTGGCGGGCCAAGTTCGCAAAACACGAGGGAAAACGGGTGTGTCTGCTGCAGCTGCTGCAGCTAGGACAATACCACCCTGTCTTCCCAGAAGTCGAGTCTTGGCCTGATGTTGGAAACGCAGCACTAGGTAAGGTGCTGTACATCCAAGCTCGTCTTCGGGGCTCTGAACTTCGCACTTGGCTTGACGCAGCCGGGCTAGCCCACAACGACCCTGGTCGCACAGGGTCTATAGTGGACATAGACCGCGAGCACCTGAGACGGACGTGGTCAGCATCTTGGCACCGAAACTACTTGGCAACATTTTGTTTCGCACCAATGCGGCCAATGCCGAGCCTGGTGTAACCTTAGCTTGAGGCCGGCTCATCGGGCCCCTCTGCCCCATTGCTGTTATCAGGCTATAGGGCTGGCGATACGGCCGAGAAGACCACAGAGTCCATTCACTTTTCTTCTCGTGATCCGTACACTGTGGCTAGCCGGTTGCTTGAGGTGTGGGACTCTTGGCCTGCATCCTCTCGTTTCCATACTCTCGTTTCCATACCGCTGCAAGCAGCGTGGGGTTAACCCCGCAAGAGCAGCGTGGCCACACGCTTTCCCTCGTGTTTCCGAAACTTCCCCCGCCGGGACTGAAGGGGCTGCTGGTCTTTGATTGTCACAGGCTTTCATGGCTTCAAGTGACACAAGACCTGCAGCTGCCTGCTTTTCCCTCTGAACCTCACGTTGGCCGTTCCT